AAAACCTTGACTTTTCAGCTTGTATTGACTTTGGCTAGCAAAATTGAGCAACTTGTAATTAAAAAACAGTTTTGTCTTTTCACCTGAGTTAAAAAGGAAGAGTATAATTCATTCTCTGATTATTCTATCCAGTTACTTGTCTCCTTTCCAGGGGAACATGCACTGTAGCCTCCTCTGAGTGTGGTGTTCTTGAGGCCCTAATCCCAGGTCTCTTTCACAGCACAAACAGATTTTCACAGAATCACAGAATATGCTGAGTTGGAACAGACCCATGTAAATCGTTCTCTGCAATAACTTCCCATTGATTTTGATGAATACTAGTGTGGGGGGCAACTATTAAAACAAGGAGCAGAAGAACAAAGGTTTTCTACATAGCAATTTGGTGTAAAAGTGCTTTAAAAGACAGACACATCATGTGCATATTAGTTTTTAAAAATCTCCCCCAAAACAGACTTCATAAGAAAGATCTTTCAGACACTACCTTTTTCTAGGCAATGACTTTATATATGCATAGTCATTTGTATTATAATTTTTAAGATTAAAAAAAAAGGCTAATAATATTTCAATCTTGGAGAAGCAATTACTCAAGCCCTTGGAAAAACAACTTGGAAAATGCTCAAAAATATAATGAGTAGAAACAGTCTAAGCTCTAAGAAGTTTATCTTTGTCTCATCCACACGTTCCCCTCTTGTGCTTTAATCCCTGGAAAGGCAGACATACAAAATGGATTGCTGAGGTTTCTGCAGAGCTTACAGTTTAATTCATCTCTCTCCAGCAGAAGTCTCACACCAGTGGCATTTTGTTACCGATCCTTCAGAAATTGTAGCAGCTATTGCAGAGTGGACATAACAAGACCCTTACATCTGCGTGGTCTTACTGGAGAGCTGTGCTCTGAATGAAAAAAAAAGGGCACTTGCAAGAGCATTGCAAAGACTGCAACCCCAAGAATTGCCAGGAAAAAAAATTTCTAATCTCTCTCCTTGGTTTTCAAAGCCCCAGTGTTAAAATCTGTCCCTATTTAATCTTAAAAGTGTTCTTTATATGCAGAGAGATGTAACCTGAAGACATGGGAGTTCAGCTTCCAACGCTTTCAGGTGCAGCTTTTTATATCACCTTTGCAGATCAAAGCTGGCACTTAGAGCAGTCTATTACATCTACCCACCAACAGTGGTTTTGATTAACTCCCTGGAAGTCCACACTGTCTCCATGAACAGTAAGGGCTGATCTTTTCAGTCTCGTCATTGGGGTGCAAGCACAGATCTCTGTCACTCAGCCATCTGTGTCACTTTGTTCTGTGTTTTGCCTTAATGCTGCCACAGCACCATTTGCTGCTCCCAAGAAGCACGGACATTTCAAAGATTCAGACTAAAATGCTTTGGTCAGAGTGGCTTTTGCCCCAGAAAGATACAGATACCTACATTATTAGTTCCCAAACTGTGGTTTGTAAAGCCACAGGGAGAGCTCTGTACCACCAGGCTGCTTTAAAGTATAAACTGTAAACTTGAGGATTAAGGTAGTTGTCTGCAGTCCAAAATGCAGCTTAAAAAATGAGCTCATCATTCTTTCATGTCACTTTGTCCAACCTTCTGCTTGACCACCACAGCTGTAAATTGAAGTTACAGTTCACCACAATCCCTGCATTTTCCCAAGTGATGGGATACCACCCACAAACAATGCAACCAGATACCCAGAGCTGACTGCAGCAGCCATGGTACAAACAGCTACCTGTCCTGTCCCCACTGCAGAGCTGTGCCAGACACTCTTGTATCATGCTGGGAAAATATCCAGGGCAAGCTGGGTAAAGTCATCCAACACCCTCACCTCCTCATTTAGTTAGGTGCCTTTGTTCAGGCTGCTGGAAACATTATGCCTCAGTTACAGGGTTTAAAAATAAACTTTTTCATCATCAGTTCCTGGTTCCCTTGAGAAAAGCCACTCCAGAAAAGCCAGTACAGACCCTGTGCAACCTTTCTGCCAGCTGTTATCACCAACTAGGCTCATTGTATGGTCAGGGTTGTGCACCCAATTATATTTTCAGTCAACTTTCCAAAATAACTATTTATTCTTTAAAAGAATAACAAAATTTTGGGGTAAGACTGAATTAAAAGCTTCCTTCCAACAGGGCTAGGAGAACCACTAAAAAATCAGCTTCCATTTCCCATACATGTTATTAGCAGCTCTCCCACTGAAATAGTTTGGTGAACTAAAGCAGGTTTTGGTCCAGTGCTCTGATTTCTTGAGTATTATAGCAGTAAGTCAGTGAATTCTGATTTGGGTAAATAATGCTGTCTTGCTTGAGATTGCAACCAGTGGATGCAAGACCATCTCCTACTAATTTCTTGTTGAGTTTAGGAATGTCACAGGGAGGCCAGGCTACTGGAAACACAGTCCAACGAGTCCATCCTCTTTTAAAGCAGGAAGGGAAGGAAGGATGAACTTGCAAAATCCCTCTCTCATTCTTTATTTTGGAACAAGAGATAAGCCAAAAACTTTTCCTCTTTTGCCTTGAAAGAACTTGCGAGTTAAGAAAGTGTTTTTCCCCAATGGATCTCAAAGCTTGGAGAGATTTCAGGGGTATCTAGGCTGGTTACATCTCAAATAGGAAAGTAGCTGCCGTTTTCTCTTTCAGGAATTGCAAGACTGACATTTAAAAGAAGCCACAGTGCACAATTAGCCAAGTACTCAGCTGTCAGGGTATGCCAAAACTGAGGCTTTGCACTTGCCCTCCACTCCACACTCCTCACCTCTGGGAACTGGCATTATGATGCTATTTACATAATCACAGAATTTCCCTAATACAACTATGCACTTTTCCCCATGCACCATTAAGTTGTGCCTATAATAAATAGGGAAGTAAAGGTCATGTCAAGGACATCTCTAGATTCACAAATTATAGAGGGAGAGAGAAAAAAAAAAGTAATCTGAGTTTTGGAGAGTGGAAAGGATTACTTCTCATTATCTCATTTTTGTTTAAAAAAAAAAAACCTACAGAGAAAACAAAAAAAAGAGAAGACTCTTAAATTATAGACAGTAATTGGAAGAATACATTTTTCTAACTTATGGTGGCACTGAAAATCGAGTCAAAATTATTTAGTGTGTATTTTGTATCTGTCTGAAGGACTGTTACAAAACTAACGCATACACAGGTTGCTCTCTACAAAACATTAAAATACAACCTGACAAGCACATTTTTGCTAATACTACTACCTTAGAGGGGAAAAAAAAAAAAATCAGTTGTCAGTGAGTCCATTAGCAAGGACCAGGGTGGGATCAACTAGAAGGGATGGGTGGGGAAGCATTTTAGTGGTGCTGCTATTTAATGTCAAATCCCACTGTAAAGTGACAAAGGCAGCACAATTCAAAGCAGGAAGAAAGGGGGTAAGTGCACAAACACACACACACACACACAGGAGCAGAAGGGAGTGGAAAAGGAACCTAATCAAAACTAACAGCAGGATTTCTGCTCATACTTCAAACTGAGAGCAGATAAACCCCTTCATTTTCAGTTCTTGCAAGCAAACCCCTGGAGCTCATGTGGAGAAGAGCTCTGCAAAGAACTAGCAATCCTTTGAATTCCATCATTTGCAGAGGAACTACCCTCTTTCCACCTCCCTGAACTTTCTTGCCCGTTCTCAGTCATTTAGTTATTAGCATTACCATTACATACTTACTGACCTTTTCTTTTCCATGACAAAAACAAGCATTCCCTTTTGAAGCCTGAGGGTTCACTACCTGTACTCATTTTAGATGACTTCCCATCCTCTCTCCTCTCTCCATTTCAAACTGTGTGTTGCTTGAGCCACATCTCTCGAGAAGCCTAGGTATTCAGCACCTTTTCCTCTTTTCAATAAAAGGTATGTATATCTCCTGGCTTCATGTTTTTCATTCTAGTCTGATGAAACCAGCCCCCTCAACACCCCAAAAATTTTTCCCTGAGGCACTGTTTCCTAGTTGAGGGTCAGCATTACAGATGCCATTTGAAAACCCAAATAATATGAACAGGGATCCAGTGAGACTTGGAGGAATCTCCAAAAACTCTGAGCATCCCTTTGAAAGCCAGCAGGAGACTTGAATTTGACATGTTTGGACACCCTGGTGCATTGAAACATTTGCAGCACTTACTTTTAGAACCTGAATATCACCAGGGATAGACCCACAGCAACCAATATTGTACAGGAAAGAGGGTGTAAAACCTCAGAGCATTCCCAGCGCTAAGTCGGGATTCCCCAAACCTGTAGCAGAGTTTTGCACTATTGCAGAAACACACAACCATAAGAGAAAAGGTACAGATCAGATTTTCAAAAGATTACTGGCACACTTCAACTGCATAGGCTCTGTGCAAGCAACTTCTGCCAGTGTCACCAGCCTTGGCCAACTGCAGTCTTAAGTGTTTCAAAAAGAAGTACCAGCACCCTTGTCAGCAAAGGTCCCAAAGAGCAGGACTACAAAGGGATTACCTGTAACTCCACTCAGTTTCAACCCAGCATTACATCTTCAGCCTCCAAGTGCTAAAAAACTCCCAGCATTTTAACCAGAACATATCCATCACACAGGAGGGAGGAAATTTCACCAAACATCAGTATGCTGCTGAAATTTGAAAAAGAAAGTAGCAAGAGTGTCTTCTTCAAGATGTATTACACTTTCTGCTGGTATTCTTGCGGAAGACAAGATTTGTCTCATGCTGTCTTGCAGCATGATCAAGGGCAGTGTATGGATAATAATCAAATTAATTCTACTGCTAGCTTTCACAAGTGATAAATACAACGCACAATTAAACAAGCGGCACCAAGACTGCCTGGAGGAAACAATTATTTAGTGCTTTCATTAGGACAGACTCACTTCTCTCACATTTTTTCTTTCCATTCTCACGTTTCACAAATCCCCTAAGGATCAATGTTAGCTCCACATAACATTAAATTATTGTATCTCCTGTGGCTGCAGCTGCCCAGGAACTGCCCGATGGAAACAGACCCAACATGCACCGCTGGACAAGCGCCCACCTTGTGAGTACAGAAGGATCTGCATCTCCAGAAGAACGCAGGTGAAAACCTGGACCAGGTTCTCCAGGCCCAGCAGCTCAAAGACCTCTCGCAGTGGGTAATCAGAGAGCGGCAGCTCGTTGGGCCCAGGCCTCTGGCAAATGATAGGCTCATAAACCCCATAAAACTTGAGCGACCTCCCTGGGGGCGGCAGGGGCACCTCGTAGAGGATGTTGTGGATGTAGCTCTCCAGGGGCAGCGGCGGCGGCTGCTGGGAGGTCACTGCCTTATAAAGCTGGATCAGGAACTTCTTGCAGGCTTGCATGAAGGGCAGGGGGGTGATGAGGCATATGCACTTGGAGACGTACAGCGTGTCTCTGCTGATGTCGTAGGAGTTGTACCGCTGGAGCTTGGCGAGGGACGTGGCATCGCCCTCGTCGATGCTGCTGGCCAGGGAGTCCATGCTGCACGAGGAGGAGGCACAGACGCTGCTGTACTGCTCTGCATTGTGCATCTGGTACAGTGTTTGCATGGCCGTGCAGATCTGCTTGCTCGTGACCTCCTCGTAGAACGTGAGCACAAACCCATACGTACGAGAGCCGTCCTCTCTGGTGATGATGAACGAGTGGAGCTGCGGATCCCTGTTATCTGCCTGCGTCCTGAAGGACAGCCCTTTGGGCATACACAGCTAAGAAAAGAGAGAAGAAATAGACATAGTTAGCTAAGCTACAATTTTATTTTGTTATTTTTGCTGTACAGGCACATTCTTTTTATCCGCTGCATCACAACAAGTCATTTATTATTAAACATAATGCCCCTGAAAAGTATTCAAGAACAAACAGCCTGAAACTGATGCTACTTAAAAGAAGAGGTAGATACGACTGAAGAAAGGAAAACACCCTTCAAAATTACCCATCTATTAAGTCATTATGAGCCATTTTCGTTACTTTCTGAAATTATTTTCACTGCTGAATAGTCTTTGTGTCGTTTACTTAAGCATCATATAAAAACATCCAGTTTTGTTCTCATTTCCATATATCATCCTCACAGTGCTCTAAAATCAGAGAGCCAAGGAATCATCTTATACCACTGAATTAAAATTAAACAGACTTCTTAAAATTCTTTGATCTTCCCTAATTTTATGGAAAAAAACCTCAACAAACCAAACCCCAAATTACTGGCAGCTATTAAGCTACTACATTTACTTTCTTCTTTAAGTGCTACAAAATAGCTTAGACTGGAAAAAAAGGGTGTAGGAGGGGATGGGGAGGGAAACACCCAAAATCTATGACAGCCTCCTTTTTGATTTACCATTCAGCAAAATCCTTTACAGTGATTCTACTACACTGGGTGTTTCTCTGAAATATGGTCCTGGTGATAACTGGAGGCATTTTTCCAGACATTCCTCGGGAATGCTATCAGCCATCTAATACAAAATAACAAACATCCAGCAAAACTTGTTTGAATGTGCATCAGCAGGAAACTCTTCATGTTCTAGCTAAATCAGTATGTTTATAAATGAAGAACTAAAGCTGCCTTTGTACCTTCCAACTGAAGAAATAAAAAAGAAAGAAGAGAGGGAGAGCCTTCAAAGTGTTCCTCCTTTTCCAAAAGGCAACAGTTGAAGTCAACTTTCCCAAGGGATGTGAACCTACACACAGCTGAGCGTATCCCCTACTGCCTCACCTTGACCTGGAGTAAATTCTTCTGATGGTAGAAGAGGTCAAGAGAAATAATCATATATTTTCAGGCACATCCTACCCTGAACTTCTGCAGTGCACCTTGCACAGACCACTTGAAAATCTGATTAAGCTGCTACCAGCCCAGCTGGGATTCATGCAAGTGGTCCAGACTCACTTCACAACAGGCTATCAGGCCCCTAAATTATCTAGGACAGCTCTTATATATTGTTCAAAAAGGTAATGTATAGGGAAATAAGTAGCATGGAGCTGACAAAAGAATTTAGTTCAACTGATGGGATTTGTTGATACATATCATGAAACTCCAGCTTGAACCATTTTTAAACAGCAGCCACATTTTCATTCAAAAGCTTTATAGCTTTTATTGAGACATTAACAGTAGTGCCATGGTTAAGGCTTCTCCAATAAAGAAGTAGTAAAAAATCCTTGTTTCGCACTTTATTTAAGTTTATTCTGCCCAATAAATATCTCTCTTCACCTCATTTTTTTGACAGGCTTGCTTAATAAAAATTTATTTCTAGAATGCAGGTTTTCAATGGTGGCTATAAGCCTTATCAAAGCCAACCAGGCTGAAATCACAGGTTTAAATCTTAATGCTATCAAAGATTATATTTTTCTTCACTCTACAGAAAAATACCTGCATAAGCAAATTATATATATGGCTAAGATCAAGAACAGATAAGCATCAGGGAAATGCAGACCAGCTGAGACAGTTTCAGAAGCCTGTTTAAATAAATTTCCTCCAAGACTTAATTATTATTCCCTTGTCCTTTATATACTGAGTATATACACACAAAGGGATACTCATCTATTAAGTTTCAGCCACAGCTTGACATATGTAGAATAACAACATTTTAAGACTCTGGCTGCAAACCCTGGCACAGAGACTGTTGCTGTTGTTAGACCTACAAGAGGACATGGGAGAAAGCAGAGGAAGAAAGAAAGAAAGGAGATGGGAAGCACCGAGGCAGGAAGAACAACCAGGAGACACTTAAGAAGCTGAGATCAAAAGGAAGAGCCTGCACTCATTTACCAGCAATACAGAAAGCTTTGAATTTGCGGTTAATGCATGAAAACTTTCATCTTGAGGCCTTGGACATCAATCACTTCCCATCTCATCTGTGTCACACATGCCACAGGAGAGTGTTAGGGAAGGGTAGCTTGGGATGTGCTAAGGGGGGTGAAATCTTTGCCTGCTGGTGTGAAGCTGGCTGGCTAACAGTGAGAAGGCAGTCAGTCACCTGTACTGCATCTCTGTACAAACACTGAAAACTGTCCAAGGTTACTGATCAAAGGACAGGATTTTGGTTTCCAGAGCACTTTACTATTTGCATTTAAACGTATTCATCAGCAGAAAAATGTGGAATTAAATTGTATTTGCAATAAGGCTTATAACCAAGATGGTTTGTGAAAATAAAAGGAAGCTGCACCAAGACAGTTAAAAAGGTATCAACTAATCCATAACCTGTCTCTAGAAGTCATGAGTAGGAGATACCCTTTCCCTAAACACAGAGGCAGGACACAGACACTGTAATCCTCCCCTCCTTCTTCTCCTGGACATCATCCCTTCCAGATATTTCTGAAGCAAAGGTCCCCTCTGGACCTCTGCCCACTAGCACTGGTTCATCTCTTCTCCATTAGATCCTCCATTTCACTTTTTAAGCCTCTATATATTTCTCATGTTCACAATATGCAGCGGCAGCAAGCTCCATACCCAAATTGCACTGTGGGTGAGGGGGTGGAGAGAAAGATGCTTTTGTTTGCGTTAAAGCTTGATCCTTCAAATTACACCAGGGAACCTTTGATTCTTTTATTTCAGTACATGAGACGTTAAACAGATAACGCCTCCTTGGAGTTCAGAAATACAGGCAAAGATTTATATAACTTGATGAATCAGAGGGCTAAATAGGAGGCTTGTTTCCTAAAAATTCCAGTTTCCTCTCTACTGATAACTTAGATTTGGTACAACACATCACTTGCAGAGTGACCACAGAAGATAGCACGTGAGGCTAGGCAGGGATAATCACAAAAAGTATGGGGGGAATGAAACACTTCCCTATTAAAGAGAACTCTGTACTTTGATACATACTTTGAAAGTGAGAGAAAACATGACTTTTAGGCAGTTTGACTGCTTGGAAGTTCAGGGGGTTATTTTTAAAGCAATAGGATGGTTCCAGAAGGCAATTGAAATTCCTTAAGCATCCAGCAAAGCCAGAGTTCTCACTAAGTTAACCTTCAAGGATTTGTGCATTTTCTTCTCTGAGGAAAATTGCTTCTGGAAGCTCACATAAAGCAAACACATAGGCAGAACTAATACAGCAAGGCAAGATCAGAAAGGCCAATAATTGCCTCAAGGGATTCTGTGGAGGTGGATATTACTTTAAATGATGCTTCAGATCAAAACAATAAAGAAGTTTTCCAAAAGATGATTTAAAATATCATTAAATACTGCTGCTGTTAGTAAATGTGTTTTTTTTCCTCCAAGACACATTGCAAATGAAAGATGTGTTCTTCAGCTGTTTGATTTTAGTTGAATGAAGCTCAGTTCAATTATTTTATTTTAATAGGTCTCTTGCTGGTTTTAGCATTCCATTTTTTTCTGATACTATGACTACATTTCAGGAATATTAGACATTTTCAACTGTAATGTGAGAGACAAATAATGCAGCAATTCCAGCTGCTATATTCCTGCTGCACAACCCCCATCACAGCTCCTCTTAACATCCCCAATTCAAAGGCAGAACTAAAAGGCATAAATAGCCTTGGCAGTTGAATTATTACCATCTTAACTGCTGATGAAGCATCACTCAGAGTCCTCCGTGACTTCTGTATAAGCAAAGTGATGTGGAGACCTGCCCAAATACCACACCAGCTCCATCAGTGCACATTTGGAAGCAGAGGACAGAAATCCCCAGCTGTCAGTAGGCAGAGGGAGTGACTGGGCTCATCTCTGCCTTTCAGTGCATGTGCAGTGCCACAGTATCAGTTCTATGTCACTGCTACTTCCAGCTCCTGTATTTCCATGTTAAATATTTGGCACAGTGCTTAAAAAGAGAATTCAGTGAAAACTGCGATGAACTTCAGATTTCTACATCTTCGTGATTGCAGGGAAGTTACAAATTCATTTTTGTGTTTGCAAAAGCCATTTTATTGTGGGGTTTATCTATTTTTCACCTCTCCTGGGTGAGGGTCAGGAGATTCTCCTGACTTCATACCTGCACCATACAATGAGATCAGGTCTGTTTTGTAGCTAGTATGCAGTCCTACCCTATGCAAATGCAAAGAACATCTAAACCAGACTGGGGGGTAAAGGGGCTCCCTAATTTTCCAATATTGAGTTAGATCCAATACACATTTTTGAAAACAGCAAGAAGCTGGTTGCTTTTAAGTTGTAAAACAAATAGTATTTTCTATACTGGGAAGCTCAAACACCAGTAATCTGTTGTCAGGTTACATTCCTAAGAAGTGCTTCGCTGATATTCAAAATATCCTTTGAATATCAGCTCTTCAGAGAAATTCCCAGTGGATCATCAGTCTTTCAGTTGCCACTGCCTCTCCTACAATAACTGTTTTTTCCTCCCTTCCCAGTCCATGGGACTTAGCAACATAGATCCCCACATCAAATTTAGCTGAGAGGAAAGAGATGTACCAAAGATGCATTGATGCAGAGGTGCCATTAAAAGTGATTATCCAGCAACAGCTGTGATTAAGGTAAGTTCCAGTTTCTGCATAAAGATTCCTCTTTCCCTTGCTATATGCAGAATCACAAGGTGTTTTGTACTCAAAAATTTCACAGGGATATTAATATCTTAAAAATTCCTTGTTTTGCCTCCTGTGGATATGTATCCCTTCTCACCCAGTCACTGGGACGGTGGTTAGATTTGTTCCATCATGGAGTAGATTTAAAACTACAACTAACAAGGGAAATTCAGTATTTTACTTTTGCTGCACCTGAAAGTATCTTGTATTTTCACAATACCTCCTCCTCTACAGCTTTCTGACCAGCACACCCAGTGGGTCCTCTTAGTCCCAGCAGAAGCACCCCGTTCATCACATCACAAGGGCTGGTTGTAAACAACCCAGGAACTGCTTAAGAGTTGAAATTGTCAGGTAACAGCTTGAGAAGAGAGTTTCTCTACCTACCATGTTGACAGCATCCTGGTCAAAGGGGTTCCACTCGATGTTCTGAGGATAATGGGCCAAAACTTTGGACTTGAAGGTTCTTCTTAAGGGACTCTGGTCGAAATTCTCTCCTGTAAAAAATGAAGAAATAATGACTTGTCACAGGAGTGTGGCTTCAGAGGGAGCTCACTTGGGCAGCTTTTTTTTTTTTTTTCTTTTTTTTTTTTCTTTTTTCTTTTTGTTTTTTTTTGTGAAATCTGAAGGGCATTTTCACTTCCAACAGAGGTACTACTCTTAAAAGAGAAACAGAAAAGATGCACATTCGGTCTGACCTTACCCTCCTTCCCACAAAATCTTAAAAACCAGTTTCCAGCTTAGTATTTACAGCATGGAAATATAGTCAAGAGAAAAATGACTGCTGCGATTTTATAGAAAAAGATCCTGAAAGGAACTGAATTCTTGACCTTCCCCTATAGCTTGAATATCTAGAGATGGCTTTACTTAGTCACTGAAATAGCACTTCCCCTCAAGTTTGTTAGAAACTGTCTTAAGGTCAACAAAAAAATATGAGCACCTCTTGGCTATTATAAATTATTCAAGGATTCATTACAGATGATCTGTTTTATATCACAAGTCCTGTGTGAAAAATTAAACATTTACTTTTCTCTACGTCAAATTTCGAGGGCAGACATTTTCCACACAAAGAATCCAGCAAATGCAAGGAGGAAGATCGAAATTAGACTTCAAGCAGAAATGCATCCAGTTATCAGCATACAAATACTGTATTTCACAGTGATATTTTTAATGGAGTTTCCCCCACTGGATTGCCTACAGTATGCAAGAGAGCCATCAAAACAAGAAGTTAAAGTCTATTAATTAAATTACCATCTACTACACTTTTTTCAGGTATCAGGTTACTAATTCCAGTGTTCTTGCTTTAAAAACTACGAGTGTATCTTTTCTATTCATTTGCTTTCTGAGAGAGATGAACGGGATGGTGCCTTAGGTTCATAACGTGGAAAGTTTTTCACTAACTCCTGCTTTCCACTTAAAAGCTCCCTCTGGGGCTTCTTAATGTTACCTAAGTACTTCTCAAAATACATTACTGAAATAGAATTGGATTTCTTCTCTTTACAAAAGAACATTATTTCTCCTTATACTTAAAGAGTGAACCAATATTTCACTAATGTTTTTAATGAGAGATTATTTTGGATTAAAAAATAGTCAATCGCTTGGTGAGTTCTAAAGGCAATTCACCAGTCCTGAGGTCACTAACCCCTCTCTGAAGGCAACATGGACCACAGGTGTATAACCTGTGTTTTCTGAGTTACATACAACAGCTAATCCTTCGTGCAGCGAGCAGCCTATGAGGTGTTGCAAAATTCACAGTTCAGGAGTTACTCGAAGGTTTCTGAGGCTGCATCCACTCGGCACATTCCCTTTGCTCCTTGCAAAGCACAGTCTACACAATTATTTGTCTCAGAGTGAATTGATTCAAGGAACTTTCTGTACAAACTGACATGTCAAAGTAGAGTTTTTTGCTTTTTTTTACCTGGCAGAGCTTGGGGTCTGGAGGTAATTGCGGGGAACACAAGGTAATGGAGAAAAACACAGTGGTAGTTCACCAGGTAAAAATTATCAGGGCAAAGTTTTAGGAGGGTTGAAAACCATTTTTGTATGAAACCCTTAGCACATCTTCAATGCAGAGGGCAGAAGCTGCACTGTGTCTCAGGGGCCACAGTGGCAGGGCCATTGCAGCAGCACCTGCACAACAGAGGCAGGTGGAGGAAGAGGAGGCAGAGGTCAGGCATTTCTTACACCAACACCAGCTGCCTGTTTGGTCAGGAAGGGGAAGCAGAGGCTTATGCTGGAGTTTCCCTCCACAAGGGTGCATGTAGGTGGATGGAAATTCCTCAAGACACGTGTCAGTGGTGCTGGGATTGCATCTCACCCTGCTGTGAGAGCCACTGCACCAAGTTCAGGAACCCGGTGGAGCAGAGCAAACCAGCTCCTCCAACAGCACTCACATGCGAATGCATTCAGAGGGTTTAAAATCTTTTTCTTCCCAAGTAATCGCTATGATTTTAAAGATATCGTTATTTTTACACAATGGATCATTTTGAACACAGGATTTAGACACATTGCAGCATTGTGGTGAAATCACCATGTGGTGAAATGTGGTGTTCAAAAAAAACATGTGTATGTGGCACTTGGGGACATGGTCTAGTAGTAGCAAGGCAGTGCTGGGTTAACGGTTGGACTTTATGATCTTAAAGGTCTTTTCCAACCTTAATGATCCTATGATTATTTTTCTTCTAGTCCTACACCTGTCTCACTTCGTTTTGGTGAGTAACCATGTGGGGAGAAAAGCAAATAAGCTTCAAGAAGGCTGTTTTGGGCTGGGGAGGAGAAAAAGTCTGAGATGATGCAACACTGCAGCTGTATTTCCTGGAGAAGGAAATGGTAAGGTGAGGAGTGGATGAGGGGACTGGGGAGATCTCACTCTGTACAACTGCCTCAAAGGAGGTGGTTGTGAGGTGGGGGTCAGATTCTTCTCTCAGGTAACAAGTGACAGGACCAAAGGAAACAGCCTCAAATTGCATCAGGGGAGGTTTATACTGAATATTAGGAAAAATTTTGGGTTGTTAAGCATTGGAATGTGCTGCTCAGGGAAGTGGTTGAGTCACCATCCCTGGAGGCATCTACAAGACATGCAGACATGGTACTTAGGGACATGGTTTAGTGGTGGACTTGGTAGTGCTGGGTTAATGGTCGGAGTCAGTGATCTTAGAGGCCTTTTCCAAACCAAATGATTCTATGATTCCACATGAGGAGCTCTGGTAGGCAAAAGCAGCCTGTTTCTGGAATTGCTCAAGGCAAACCAGAAATCCAGCAAAAGTGTATGCATCACTGAAATAAAGAAAACTGAAGTTATTAGCTAAATTGGATCAAGTTCAGAAACATGAAGACCCTCTCTCCATGCTCAGTTACAAAGTCAGATTGAAATACCAAAAAACAGAGACCATTACTCTACTGCAGAACATGGCAGTAGAATAATGTCTTATTTTGGTCTAAAAGTTCTTTGCAGAGGCATTAGAGATAAAGATAAAATGCCACCCACCAATTCCTAAAGCTTCACAAATAAAGATCCCAACAACCAACATCAGCAAAAATTCTCTCTCCGGGTATGTACTTAAACATACTCAGCAACATTTTTAATTCTTAGTATCAACCATAATTAATGTGCTTGCATAATCAAACAAATATGGATGAGGTTATTGCCTAATTAGATCTTCAAGAATTCTCACATCTGACAGAGTTTACCTGACAACTGTGAATTGGCAGAAAGGCAGATATTTGATGCTAAACTTGTTTGGTTGCTTCTACTAAAATTTAGAAGAACTGGATGACTTCATTAAGTTCTCCACTACTGACAGCAAATGATTGCTGGAGTCCAAATTTCTTTAAAGTGTTCCTTTTCCATAACACAAAAAGGTTACTGTAACCTCGTGGATGGATGCTAATTGGGTAATGTGCATGCTTCAGAGGTACTCATCACTTTTGCAGTTCAACACTTGAGTCCTTCAGAGGTTCTTTGGGGGCTAGTGTTCCACTCTACATCACAAAGATGTTGTAAAAACACCTTTTGCTTGAAAAATTTATTTCCAAGTTAGACCAAAAACTATCACTGGGGATGCAAGAGCAGTGAAGGCCCTGATATCTTGTTGTTCTTATTATTTAACATCCTTCATCTCATTTTTCCTATAAACCACCACCACCCCCAACTTGGGGGGCAATACTCTGGAGCATCTAGAACCAGTGGAGAAAAACAAGGCGTATTTGCCAATCAAGCACTGTAATAATGATAAAATGAGGGTTTCAGTCAGCTTTTGGAAGTGACCAATAATTTGTATGCTGCTGAAGATATTTGTGCAGTTGTTTAGATGACAGATAGGTCTAAAATGTTTTGGTTGTAAAGTACAAGCAATGCTTTAAGAAATCCAGCTTCCCAAAACCAGCAGTTACAATGTTCTAGTAGGCTGACAACATGGATTCATTTTATCCAAGAAAGCAGATGGCACAAACAACTTACCTTTGCAGAGTCTCTGCAGTGTTTGCATTTTACTACTCCGAAGGTTTAAAAAAATATAAATTAAAGGTAAAACACACATGGACAAAATACAATTTTCTCAATCAGTGATCACAAAACGAAAGAGAAAAAAAGCCAAGAACCCACACCGCAGTGAATCAATCAGTTGTTAGCTCAAAAGAACTCAACATTGCACCCCCCATACAAAGCTACCTCCCAGAAAGTCAAACAGGGTAAGCTTTTAGAGGAGACACACAATTTAGGAAAGAAACAGTATGAGAATATGACAGCAAGCAGCCAGCATGTCAGGGTGAAATGGCATCCTTTGGCCAAACTAGCAGGAAACCCCTCAACTCTCACTGAAATGAGATGAGAGACAAGGACCACGACAGCCAGCCCCACACTGACAAGCAGCTGGAAGAGAACCACAGGGAGCAAAACCTTCTTGGCAAACAAGAGGGAAGGGATCTGGACCAAAGGGTACCTGATAGTATCAGCTCTGAGCCTTGGTAGTTCTGAACTACTGAGCCACACGTGGCAAAGAATTTACTTAGCTGTTATTCTAGACAAACAGCGAATTTTCATTAAAGTTACTATGTGCTTTTAAGTGCTTGCTTAGTAACTTCCCAAACAGGATTAGCAAGGCACATTAAAAATGAAGTAAGTATCAAATGTGAATTGAATCCATATACTAAAATATTAATGGGCAGATAACAGTACTGTGAATGCAGACAGAAACATCTTATTTGGTGTGTGGTGCCCATTCATGCAAACAGTATAACTCATAGGGTAAGCTGGCCCTCAGAGGCAAATTAAAAAAATTGGGTTCGAATAGAAGCCTTTTGCTCTCAGGATATTTTAAAAAAATATTCAAGTACTTTTCAAAATTGTATAAAATGTGTCACACTCAATTTCCATTTCAATTGGACACTACATCCTATGTAACTGTACTCTTCACAACCAGTCCCTTTAAGGCACTGGTTTTTAAAGGAACATTTAGTTTCAAATTAAAAGCAAATGGTGAAGTGACAGATGCTAGATCAAGAAAAACTGTGCTAATTTAATTTCAAAATGAGAAGATTTCTCAAAATTAGAAAATATCTGTGTTTTGGATACAGGATACAATTACTAGGGAAATGCAGCTACAATTGTGAGGTTGTCAGTCATGATGGCTTTCATAAGAGTGATCCTATGTATAAATGTAGTGATCTTAAGGTTTAAGCAGATCTGTTTCAATTAATAATCACAGCTACAGAGGCATAGAAAGCCATGTACCAAATAGGCAGAGGCATCCCTCCACCCACACCCTCTGGTCCAGGGAATGCAAGCTATCTGTCTCTCCTTCCAAGCTCTGGAATGTCAACAGGAATGCCTGTGACTACAGAAATAAAAATATCTTTTATTCCTTTAGAGGAACATACTGGCAGCACAACTATGTACAGTGCTGGGCCTCGTGGTGACCATCTCTTTGATAGCTATTTCCAGTTAAAAGTGTTCAGCACATCCAGCTACGTTCTCTGCCTGCAGACGGAACTTTAGGTTTATTCTGGATGACCCTGCACAAGAAGCAAATAGTATACAAGGTGTGAGTGAGAAAACAATGTGGGAGCAGCAGTAACAGCGCTTGGCTTGGGAGCAACTAAGCTGTTAATTGTTCAGGAGCTGGTAAGTTTAAGTAGCCCAGAAACTGCTCTGCTGGTTTTACTCTGAGCCCCACTAGGATGCCAAGGTGGCAGTGGAAGGCTAGTCAGAGCTCAAGGACATTAACTCAAAGGTGTTATTTCTGAGCACAGTCTCACAGTAGAGAAGGGAGACAATATGAAAGAGAGGACTGGGACAAAGCAGGCAAAACAGTTTTCATACCATATTTTTAAAATCTGCATTGTCTGTAAGACGGTGGTGGCTGTCTGGGGAGCGGTTGAGGAGGGGGTCGGTGTCTAACCTACCTTTTGCACATTGATACATAAAGGAATTGATGGATCACATTTAAGCAGGAAGCCATAGGGGGTTGTGTACTCTTCAATACATTATTTGGATTTTTTGAGGGCAGGGGTGGGGGTGTGTCTGTGTGAACCTCACCAGTATTACTATTTAAATCTAGACTGCAAAACATGCTTCCTTGAGATGTCAGGAAACTTTGGGTCTCTGCAGCAGATATTGGTGCAGCTGGACCTCCCAGTCCCCTTTGTTCACAAATCCACACAACCAAGCCTATCTAAATTTGTAGATAAGTATCCTCCAATGCAAGATATTATTCAGTCTTTATCAAGCACAGAAAGATCTAGCATATCTCATCTCCACCAATATACTGACTCCACTACTGGGATTTTGCTGGAGAGGGGAAGCACATCTGCCGAGAGAGCATCAAGAAATAGAACAAAATTTACCAGATATTGATTTAAATTAGGTAAAGAAATAAAAAAGTCCAAGGATTTTGGCTTTGATTTTGATCTCTGATCCTTAATTTGATTCAAGGGGAGTTGGAAGACTGAAAATAAAGAAACAGAGAGGGCCTGGTGATTGTTTTGTCCTTAACTCCTTTTTACCTGAGGTTTTGTCTGCAGTATCTGAGCTCTTGCCATGGAGATCTGCTTGTAGCCATTTGTACAAGACTACACAACATAACAGACAGAAATAAAAAAAAACAAAAACAAAAACAAGTATGAACAAAATGAAAAGACATCCAAATGTACTGGGGAAGGGAAAAAATGTGAACCAGACATTAAATACTCCCCCTTGCAATCTCTCTTCCCCCCACTACTGGCAAGGGTAAATCCATGTGACAAATAAACCCCTCTATGACCGTATTACTACAGAGGTGTTGAATGCAATGACAGACATGGTAGAATACTTGACAAAATTAGTAACAAGATTAAATTCTCAGTACTTCAAACAGCATCCTGCCTTACAGCTTTCCTATTATGAAAGACATCTTTGTTCACATATTGAGCCATTCCAGAGCCCATGAAACTCAGGGGGGGAAAAAAAGACATCAGTTCTTCAACTAGTGTTGAACTAAACCCAAGAAGTTTTATTTAACATAATACTGTTAGCTATGTTGTTACACCTTCAATCCTGTACTGCATACCATTTTCAGGACTTCCTGAAGTTACCTAATAGCTCTAGTCATCATTTCTGTCTCATAACTGGGTGTTTTTAGACTAAAATTTGGATAAATAAGCTATGTTTAGAACTTGGCTGAACAATTTTAATGTCTTCCAGCAACAGCTATCCCAGCAGGCACTTCTAATGGAACAGCTTCCTCAGTTAGCCTGCCTAACTAAGGTTTCTTCCAACTGGCTTGCTCATCTCCTGCAGAAAACCAAAAAATGTTTTCAGATACCATGGAACTTCTTCATCAAAAAAGTTGCATTTGCACACTACACAAAGGCATTACACAATCCTTCTCAAGGTAAATCTATTTTTATAGACATGGCACACACATTAGAGCTGCAATACCATTGGCCTCTCTAGTGATTCAGTTCCTAGGTGTAAATTCAGAGTATTTCCACCACAACCTCATACTTGATCCTGTTCAGAGGACCAAGACAGTTCTGCCAAGGCCAGATTTTTTTGGAAGGTAGCACTCAGCAGAGGGCACAGGAGTTCTTCCAATAGAGATTCTTAGATGTGAATTTGTATTTTAGAATAACTTTCTCTTTTCTTTAGGATACACCTGAAGATAGCCCACATTAGAATCTGCAGGGTAATGTTTTCCCACCCCACGCATCTTAAGTTATTTCATTCTACTGTTGAGTTGCTTGAACTAAAAAGTTTTGTAAATATTCAAATTAAAGAAACAAAACAATTGTCAAAGTTAGAGAAGACTTGCTAATTACCCATTATCCACACTACCTTTACAACTCTCTCTGCCAGGCTGTCCTCTCAGTTCTCCCCTAAAGATTATCATACAAAGAGAACTGGGCACTGAGCTTCCACGGACTTTGCCACCACCTCTGCAATAGGAAGGGTGAAAAGGGAAGATGTAACAACTTTGTGAAATAATGTATAGCTCAATGAACTGGGACAGGTTTCTACTACCCATTTCAGCACTCTGACCATTTATTATCATCAATCATGTGGCTAAACAGTCACAGATGTTACGTAAAAACTCCTGCACAAGAAGTCAAATTGACAACAGACAGAGCTATGGACACCGTTGTACAGCCTAATTCTTTACACAAACACAATGTAATGGAATAATACCATTGCCACAAACTAATTACACTTAGGAAAGGCTCACTATTTCAAAAATTCTTTTAAAAAGGAGTTTTGTCCACCCAAGAGTTATGGCACATCTAAATAAGGATAAAAAGGCTCTAACATGAGAAGTTTAGGTTCCAGCATCCTTTCCTTCTGACCTTGATTAAAATACTGAACTCTCTGCCTACAGAGTAACACTATACAGCACCAACATTATCAGAGTCTTAAAATAGCCCCAAGTCCCAGCTGCCAACAGACCACAGACATCTCACTACACTCACCAAGAACTATGAACTATACCACCCCTTTTACATAAAACTTGCATCATAATCTCGTCAAATTAAAAAAACCTGTGGCTTAAATTACGTCAATTTGGCTGATTATTTGCATTGGGGTGGGCAGAGTTAAAAAACCAGGTACCCAAGGCATGGTGCTCCTACACAATTGCCTGCTATCTTTTTGTTTAGTTACACAGCAAGTGAGCATTGTACATAAAACCATACGAAGGGTTAGAAATCCAGCTCTCAGTTCCCAGAAGAACAGCAGAGTGAAAAATTTTCAAGCAAGAGCAAGACACCAGCACAGGTCCCTAAACACAGCAGGATGCTAAAGCCTGTCTAGCAAGGGATTCCTGGCTTTGGAGCAACAGGCACCCAGCTACAGTCTTGTGCTGAACTGTCAAAAAAGTGAAGGTGTCTAAAAAGATGCCATCATATTCTCTATGAAGTTTGGACAGATTCCTACTCATTGCAATCCCTGTTTCCCACTCCTCATTTCATGTGCTCACCTCCCTCCATGAACAGAACACAGAATGAGGTACCCAGTCATGCCTTTTGCACAGGACACCTTTCACGCTTGAGCTTTCTACTTATTTACCAGGACAGGATCGAGTTCAAATAGACCTGATTTCTGTCTCATTCTCAGTCTGGTTTTGGAAAAAGACTCACAATTATAATTTTTTATTCAAATGAATCTTAAAGCAGGTTTTGTTCTCTACTCCACTATAACAGAGGTAGTACAAGCGTCTTGTCTCAGGATCTGCTTTGCTACAGTTGGTATTTCTGGAGAAAAGGGGAAGAAAAGACCACAACCCACAAACAACCAGAACTTGTCATCCTAAAAATCCCTGTATTATTACTGTTTAGGTTTGTGTGCGAGAATGCAGGAAAGAAAGGGGAGTTTTTCAGTAAACTTTGCTTTGGGGCTTTTTTATGACAAGAACAGCCTTATTTTTATAATTCCATCAATCTAGTTGTCTTTCAAACTGGGCTGTACTAAAATAGATATTTTTTTTTTTAAAACCACTCTGTAGTACACATAATATCATGCACCAATATCAATCTCCACTCATCAGGATAGCAAGTTTCAGGTGTTTTGTTACTTGAAGCAGTTTCACCAAAGCTGTGTTTATACAGTGGCAGAGTGTGAATGAATTCACAGATTTAAAACCTTCTGCCGCCCTAATTAAGCTTAGTTTGCAAGTCACTACAAGAAAAGAAAGAAGTTTAATTTGGGCTGGAATGTTTTCAGCACTAAACAACTGTGATATAAACAGAGTACAGAGATGCCCATACTGCAGCTCAGCTAACCAACTATGCCTGACTGGGGTTTTGCTTTTTTCTAGCTTTCCTTTTACCCATCTCACACAAGTTTGGGGTCTCAGTTCCCTGGACTCAGCACTGTTGCACTGCATTTCTCCAGTTTAAAGGAAGCCCTTGCTTTCTGATGTCCCCAAGAGCTGTCCCTCGGTGTACTCAGCCATGAAGAGGATCCAAAGGACTAGTGGTTGGTTTTTACTCAGCACTTTCCATAGGTTGTGGTGATAAGAAGGAATTTATCCCCAGTTTCCAGGGAAGATTCTTCTTCTTCAAACAGCACAATCCACAACCCACTAAAGGCACTCAAGACAGCTACTTAGAACACCCTGAGCAGGGACAGCCTCTTTGCAGTGCTCTGAAGAACTGGCCCACACATCTGTGAGGTTTAGACAGCTGGTTTTCTCAGTGGGCAAAAAGTGGATTTAAGGAGAGTGGGCCCAGAAGCGGTCCCTCACTGTAGTGAGTTACTTTTTTGCACACCCTTTACAAGCAAAGGGTTACAGGAAGACAACTGTTGCCTGTCAAAGGCTGCAGCTGCTAAGCTTTATGAAAACTTAGTTAAAAAGTGGTTTTGATGAGAAAAGGGTCTGGCAAAGAAAAAACTTTGCTTCTTGTGGTCAAGAAAGCTCTTTCATCGGCATAAAGCAGAAACACTCCCTTGTGTAGCACAAACTTTGTTTAGGGAGTTCTGAAAAACTGCTGTTTAAGCTGCTGCCAATAAAGAATTGTCCTTATGACAGTCTCCAAGAGCCAGTCTTCCGCCAGTTTTCAACAAATGAATCCTTTCAGAGTAAGAGAAGACAAAAAAAACCTTCTCCACGCTGAAAAGTCACCAGAACCCTCAGGCAAGGCTTGAAATTACCAGAGCTTCTGGACGGAGAAGGGTGGTGAGCAGGAATGAAGATGCAGAGAGACAAGGATCTGCTGCCCACGCAGCCAATATTGGTCCTTAATGCTGGTACTTCCACTTAAGAACTACCCCAGAAACCATTTCAGTTTGGAGATTCTTCTCAGCTGCTTCAACCCAGTGCTGCACCACAATAACTGGAGATCAGCATATCACTGCAAATGCTTCCAATGCAGGAAAAGTTGTCACTGAGACAAGGCATTTATGCAACATGCTGGATGATGCAGTTATTATTAGCTCTGAAAAAAACCCAACAACTTTAGTTTTGTCAACTAAAAGTGTTAGAATATTGTTAAGAGGTAAAAAATATCACATTGAAAGAAAGATCAGTTGTTGTAACTACTCAGTTAAAATACCTTTTCTGCCATGAACATCTCTGCAAGAACCTACATGTCTTAGTCAACACCAACTTTGTTTACAATCTGAAGAACAGGTTGCTGCCAGTGAGTTTATAGAAGGGATCATTAAGAAGCTATCAGTGTGCAGCAATTGTGCATGTAAGGCACACGAAAAATATTTGTTATGCTTGTGCAAACATTAAGTAAATCACTGCTAGTTAGATACAGCTTTAGTTTTTTTCACTGCAGCAGAGCTCTAAGTATTTCAGACAAAGTATAAACAAATAGATATATCCTTAATCAGTGCTGCCCATTTTGTGGCCAGTTTCCAAGTCTACTGAAAATACAGAAAGCTGAAACCAGGACTCAACCACCAAGTCACTGTAAAGTGTCAGGATTCAAATCCAAAGGCATGGACAAATATTAATTTCTGGATCCAAACTAGACTCCAGGTGGGAAACTCAAAGCATAGCAGGATTTCTATTTTGCCTTTAGATTTAGTTCTGATCCCTACAAAGGCTACCAGAAACTAAATCCTTTGGCTTCCCTTAACACCTTGGGGAATA